TTAAAATTAATAACTGCTAATTTCAAAATCAAAATTTAATCGCTATTAAGGTTATATATATATATATATATATATATATATATATAGAGAGAGATTTATATATATGTATGTATGTATGTATGTATATATATATCGATCTCAGTCACTTGCTTTCTATCTCCATTTGTTGTCTTTTTATTTATATCAGTTCATGTTCTGTCGGCATACCTGTTTTCCCCCTCTCTCTCTCTCTCTCTCTCTCTCTCTCTATATATATATATATATATATATATATATATATATATATATATGTGTGTGTGTGTGTATGTTTGTGTGTGTGTGTGTGTGTGTGTGTGTGTGTGTATCATTCACTATCTTTCTTTATATGTCTCGATTGAATTGAATATCTTTGCTTTTCAAATTCTTTCTTTCTCTCTGGCTTCGTTCCCTTCACTCCGCAACTCTTAAAGACTTTATCGCGTTCTATGCATATCTAACAAACTATCTCTCTGTTCCCATGTTCATATCTACCTTCATCTGACTCGTCTATCTATCGGCTAATTCAGCTTATCTCTGTTCCTATCTCTATATTTGTTCGACTCCATCTCTTCACTTCACAATCTCTAGTCTATCTGTCTCAGCCTGTTTGTCTCGATCGATCGAAATGTCATATTCTCTATTATCCACTTTAAACGATCTATCTCAGTCGGTAGGTAGCATGTTTTCTTTTTTTTCTTTCTATCTACAATACTTACACTGTATTAAAAAAACATATACCGTGATAATATCTCTCTGACTATTTTTACAATATCTATTACATTGATTAATTAATTAACTGATGTTTTAGCATGCTTGTTAATGATAACTCTCTCATGGTTATGGAATTTTTTTTTAGTATGCTTGTTAAAGGAGAAAATGAAAATTACCATGTCGATGCATATTAATTATATTCCGAGTACTTTCGATATGAGTAAAATGTCATCATCAGGGGGTGTTTACATGTGTGTGTGTGTGTGTGTGTGTGTGTGTGTGTGTGTGTGTGTGTGTGTGTGTGTGTGTGTGATAGAGAGAGAGAGAACGTTTCATCCTTTAAGATTTCACCGGACTAAGGACGAAACGATTCACGCAAAAACTTTTGCACTTTGTCATAGCTTTTATCCTAAAATTTCTTTGATGTATAAAAATTTATGTATCGTTTGCATATATATATATATATATATATATATATATATATATATATATATATATATATATATATATAGAGAGAGAGAGAGAGAGAGAGAGAAAGAAAGAAAGAAGGAAGGAAGGAAGGAGGCACGGTGGGTTAATGGATAGAGGTTTGGATTGAAGAATCGGAGAGCCGAGTTCGAATTCCAGTCGAATCCACTACATTCACTTACGTGCTAACACCCTTGGGAAAGGTGTGAATCCTCTTCTTCTCCCTCCAGCAATGGCTAAATAGCAGGACAGACTGGGTTCTATAGCCTTGGATGGCAACTGGTCTAGGAGAAGGAAAAACTCTGAATTCAAAACCTGCGTAGGGTCATTTGGGGACCTTGTCGCACCTAGTGCACCAGGTCTCTGTATTCGGCCCTTCAAAAAGTGCGGATGGTCCTGCACGAAACCTTCACCACTACAATCAAATCTCATGTGCTGTTGTCGGGCTGTCGGTATCCTGGAAACTGATCTGCTTGATCCTCATACGTCGGATTCGACGGGAGAGTCGACGACGACATATATAATTATTTATTTTAAAATTATAACATAAATATGTTATAAAATCACTACAAAAATAGCCATTTTATTTCAACACCTTAGGTGTCTTATCAAGTGATGATGTTGAATGTCTTGTATATATATATATATATATATATATATATATACATATATATATAATTTTTTTTTACAATTAGTTAATTGATTACCTATTAATACATTGCATTCTGTTCCTATCTACTTCTCTATCTGTAGACTACTTAATGGCTGAGAGAGTTGCGTATATTGCAACAGTACAAGTGATTAGCGTTCAAGCCCACAAACTGGTTATCTACTCAACCATGGGTATCCACTAAAATAACGTTTGGAATACTTACAAGTTGTTTAGGTTTCGGATACGAAAAGATAGGCAGTTATAGGCTTTTGAGTTCTGAACGAGAGAATGTGGGTTCTTTAAAGCATAATTGAAGCTTGGTTGAGTTGTGACGCTCCCTGAGACCGAACACTCTAGAGCACTCCGGCGGCGTACGGACACACAACGTTGAAACACTACCCGCACATCAGCGCCTGCATCAAGCGATCATCCATCTAGGTATTGACCAGGCTCGACGTTTCTTAACTTCGGTGATCCGTTCTGGGTATGACGATAAACTACATCCGGCAGCAAGGCCTCTGATTGGGAGGTTTTGAGGAGTGTGGAACCATCTCTTAATTGCTGTTTTTCCCTGGTCTACCCCGATCTGCCGGGGTAGCACCTGATAGGGTCCCAGCTATGAGCAAACTGGGTCATAACACTATGAAAGTATAAAAAGTTTTATATTAAAAGTACCAGTAATACATTTTCATAGTAAGAACATTACCAGCAATACATTTTTATTTAAAAAATACCAGCAATACAATACAGTTTTGTTAAAAGAATTAACTGTATTACATTTTTGTAAAAACGAAATTAGCTGTAATACGTTTTTGTAAAAACAAAACTAGCAGCAATAAATTTTTGTAAAAACAAAATTAGCAGCAATAAATTTTTGCAAAAGAAATTACTACTGCTCCCAAGAAAATTAAATTTCGGCAACCTAGTAACACGCTTAAATTCATGCAGTTTGGCAACCAGTGAAAGCAGCTCGTCAGAGCAGATGCCGTGGAAATACGTGTAGAAAAGATAGAAGGAAGCCACAGCACGTCTGTAAGAAGGTGATTGTAGACGAGTTGCCAGATCAGGACCAATCACATTGCATATCCGTCTCTGGATTTTTGTCAAGGACCTCGAGACGAACAGCGGAAGCATCAGACCATATATGGCAGCAGTTTTCCATGCAAGGACGAATGGTTAATTTGTAGATTTGAAGGATCGACTCAGGCTCGAAAAACCTTCTGGCGTGACATAGAAAACCAACTTTCCTTGCGGTAGATGAAGCTATAGATTCAATGTAGTTTTTCAACTTCCGGTCAGTGGACAGCGTGAAACCAAACAGGCGCAGAGAGGCGCTCTCGTGGAGTTAAGCATCAGACATCCTGATGTGACGCAGGGAGAGTTCCCTATGGCGGGTAAATGAGAGCAGTTTCGTTTTGGAGGTATTAAAGTATACAAGCCATTTCCTACCCAAGTCAGCCAAAGATTGGAGGTCCTTTTCGATACCAACGGCCAGGTTAGTTTTGTCAGCGATGCCGGATCTACTATTAACAACAGGAGTAAATAGTAGTTATCGTCTGCGTAGATGCTAACTTGGGAATTGATGACATCAGGAAGATCGTTGATGAAGATCAGAAACAGTGTGGGACCCAGGATAGAGCCTTGGGGGAACACCAGCATTCGCATGGAAGGAACTGGGGGAGAACCCGTATAGGAGAATAAAGAATTTAATGTATCCCCAATTCTTTTGTCTTTACAAATGTCCCTCAGCAGGCGTCTGTGACAGGGATTATCTAGTCAAGCCATATTGATCTATATGGTTTGTCAGGTTATAGGGAAACAAATTATATTTTTTTAAATAAAATAAAAATAAAAAGTAAAATAAAATAAAGATGTTAAAAAGTAAAAAAAGTTTTATCCAGAATAAATGTTATAAAATGAAATTGCATTTCACCTCGATGATGGTTGCGTATTTAATTATAGCCACGGGAAATTGGGATCAGAATGTTGAATTGAAATTCCGTTGCCTCTACTTTGCATAAAATTCCAGGCAACTTTAAAAATTTAATTGGGATGTCTTTAGATAGAATTTCTTTCCAATTGTGAAAACAAAATGCTCTCAGTGTGCTTTGTTTCCTTCCGTAGTGAAGGGATAAAAATGATGAGATAAATTTATGAATATCAAACAGAAGATTTTAGGGTATATTTATTTGATGTTACCTTAATGTTCAGGTTTACTAAAGTGTATTAGTGATAAAGTTTATCAGTTAATTTGAATTTTGACTATAAATTGGAAAACTTCAAACACCTATTTAAAATGTTTTGACTCAAAAACATTTTTTTTCTGATAAAAATAGTTTATTTCAGGTGGCTGACATAAATTGCACGGCCTACCTGAAAATTGATTGGCTTCTATGACCTTTATTAACTAAATTTTGCGATCAGCCAAGATCTTAAATTGATTTTTTTCCCCAAAAATTAACAATTTCAGTTCAGCAGAAACGGTAGCTAACTATGAAAAACTAAGGTCATTTTCGGAATCAGCACCATTAAATTAGCTAAAAGATGTGTTTTGATTCTTGGCGCCAAAAATTATGTTGACCAATGTTATTGCATTATAAGAACAACTGAAACTCGTTTCAGAAATTCAAACAGATATTGTTTAGTGAGTGATACCTTTGCAAAGCGTTACATCCAATGGATCTTTAGGTTGATCTTCCCAACCTTATGGCGCTCATCTCTTTTGACTGTTTTTTTTTTTCTATATCCTTTTGACAAAAAGATTCTTATCGTTTGCTAAGATTATTAGAAGAGTTGTTTGTTGTTGTTGTTTGTTGTTGTTGTTGTCAACTTGATTTTGTTGTTGATTTTTTTTCATGCCGAGGAGAGAGAGAAAAAAGGGTGTTCAAGGTCAATTTTTGATTTAATCAAAAGGCCAGTTTTGATTAAGTCCTTATTTTTGCAATATTTTTTTTTCAGAGCTTGAGATCTTGGCAAAGAAAAAAAAAAAGAATATACAAAAGAGAGAAAAAAAAGGAATAGATGTTTACAAACCGATATTTTCTTATTTAATCAATTAACCCAGTTTACTGATTAGAGGCTTGCGAGATTATCTTTCTTATTTTTTTTCAGATTTTATAGGAGGATCACCATTCTACTTAAGATCTTGGTATCAAAGAAAAAAAAAAGAATATACCAAAATGAACAGATTGAAAAAATAGATAGATAGATAGATAGATAGATAGATAGATAGATAACTAAGGAAGATAGAGAAGAAAGTAATAAAATAGAACAGACTGAAAAAGGATAGGAAAGAAGATAGAAAGAAAGATAAAAGAAAGAACGAAAAGAAAAGAAATAGAAATGAGCAGACTGATAAAATTAGATAGATAGATAGATAGATAGAGATAGATAGATAGATAGATAGATAGATAGATAGATAGAGATAGATAGATAGATAGAAACCAAGAAAGGAAGTAATAAAATGAAAAGACTGAAAAAATGAACAGACTGAAAAAAGGAAAGAAAAAAAATAAAATGAGCAGACTGAAAAAGAGATAGAGAGATAGATAGATAGATAGAAAACCTAAGAAAGAAAAATAAATGAAACTGAAAAAGGGAAAGAATGAAAAAAGGACTGAAAAAGAGATGGAGAGATGCTAAGAATGAAAAAAGAAAGAAAATTGAAAAGGACTGAAAAAAGAGATGATGAAAGATAGATAGATAGATAGATAGATAGATAGATAGAGAGAGAGAGATAGAGATAGAGATAGAGGTTGCTTATGTAACCAAAATTTGAATTGTCATTATTATTAGAGATTACCTTGACAACATTGCTTTATTGAAGTTTTCATGCCGTTTACTTATTATCTATTTATTTATTTTCTATCCTTGCTCGTGTTTTTTTTTTTTTTTTTTAGTTTTAGCATTGAGTTTTACGTGCTTTTTTGCCAGTAGCAGTGTTGTATCTATGTATAAGGTTTCTTATCATTTGTTAGCCTCGTTTATGCTTATTCTACCCTCATTGTTTCTGTGCGTCAGTTTAATGCTGTTCCTTTTATTTGTATTGCTGTTAAATTTAGTTTGTTTATCTATGAGACGGTTAAGGAAATTATTGTGAATTAATGTTTGTTTTATATTTTTGAGTTCGTTATAAAATACTGAGTGTTTAGAAGATATTAGGTTGGTTCTATTAAAATATTTATGATGGCTACTTTGTATCTGTATAGACATTCATTATTGCAGTTAAGTAGGCACGGATGTGAATTGGTTACTCTGATATCGGTGCAGCTTTTAAAGTTGTCATTAACTGAATTGATTAGTACGGCTATAAAAAGAAGTTAAGATTCTCAGATTCTTAACTTTGTTTGTATTTTTGGTTTATATAAATATATAATCAATATAACGGGGGCAAACTTCTGTTGGTTTAATTTATTTTAATTTCGTTTTCTAAGATTGAAATAATCAATTCTGATAGCGTTGGTGCGAGTGGTGAACCCATAGTGACGCCATCAATTTGCATGGACATATTTCTTAAGTGATTGTAAAAGGGAACTTGTGTAGTACTGGTTAATAGCAGTTACTTATATACACTGACAGGTACGTAGGTGAATAAATTTCTAGTGTCCTTTTATTATGTCTCTCCAGGGCATAGGCGATCATTGTTCTTCATAGCTTCCTTTATTATTTTAGAATTGCCATGTTTTTCTTTTGTTCTTGTTTTCTTTGCTGGTGGGGGGGATAAGAGACTGTTGCCTTATACACGAATTCATATTTAGAGTTTTGCTTCTCTTACATTGGTTACCACTCAGTGCTGCATATTTCTTACACCATGTAAAATAAATATAAAAAGGAGTGATAGGTCGTTCACGTAACATAGGTGTTATCATAGCGTAAAATGGCACTGGCGTGCCGAATTCAAATTTCAACAGAGGCCGTTGCATTCGCTTTCACACAAATACTGAAGTAGGATTACTATATATATATATATATATATATATATATATATTGGACGATTGGGACATCGGGTAGAAGCTCATAGTTTGGAAATTCTATATTGTTTGTTTTCAGTGGTCACGAATTCATTTTTAAGTAGGATGCGTGGTGGGTGAGATTTCGTCTGAATTACGCAAAAATGAAAATAACACTGATATCTCACAGATATATTTGCCAAAATTACATAAAAACAACTTGAAATACTAGAGAGTAAATTTATTCAATAAAATCGCCATTGGCTTCAACCACAGCCTCCAGACAACTTCGGAGCCTCCTGCATCTCTTCTGGACGGTCTCCTTGTTTAATTTGTTGAATGTTGCCATAATCCTTGCCTTCTGTTCATCTTTGGTGCTACAAAGTGTTTTGTTGGTCTCTCATTAAGCTGCGCCCCACACCTACTAATCAAGGGGGTTGCAGTCTGTGGAGATGTAAGGGGTGATGTGGTCGCAGAAATTCTCTGACAGCCATGACTGGGTTCTCCTGCTTATGTGGCATGGTGCAGAGTCCTGTTACCAGACGTAGGATATTTCATTAACGACGCTCTTGATCCAGGGCAGCACTAAAGGCACTTGATGTAAGCCACCTTGTTTGAGTCTGAGGCCTTCATCAACAGATTCGGGATACTTGATTAATTTTTTTTTTGGGGGGGGGATAGATGGGAAATATATTGATACGAATGAGTTCTTTTATGATTCATCCAAATAAGGTGTTGTATACTAAACTAAAAAATATTAAGCAGGCTCTCATTAATAATGACTTCCCAAACCACATTGTAAACGAAGAAATAAGGCGATTTATCAAAGACTTCAACACAGGTCAAATAGAAATGGTAATTCATCAAAGGACCCTAAATATATCAAAGTCTTATATTTCAAACTAGATGCATCTCATTTTAAATTAAATGCATGCTAACTACAAACAGGATGAGAAAATCATTAAAAAAAAAAACCTCATTAGTACCAATATACATTCCATGGACCACAATAAAAAATAAAATTAATCAAATATTATACAAAATACAATACAACAAATTTAATTATTCGCAATAACTCCTCTTCACCAACTGATGTATTACGTAAAACTAACATTATATATCAATTCAAATATTTCTTGTGAGAATGTATCTCCGAAAAAAAAACAAAAAACAAATATATATGATGGATATACGGCAAATACATTATCAAGACGTCTTACTCTACATATGTCTGGCCATTCGTCCATTGTGAGATATTTACAGCAACATTCCTGTCCACATTCACAGTATAGAAAATAATGATTGATAGCACGAGAATCCTACACCAAGAAAATAACAAATTAAAACTACAGATCCTCGAAGCAATCTACATAAAAAATTGAAGCCGACACTGAATCAGTTACGAATACAGTAATAATGTTTTAGAATATCTATAAAAAGAACAGTTTTCACGCTTTAATTCACGCTTGACCATGATATTCTAATATAAAAGAAAAAAATCCATAATGGAAATCTTTTACTTTCAAATGAACACTAAAGCATAACTGTTAGCTGTTGCATTTAAACGCAAAAAGAAAAAAAATCAGTAATCATTTGCACACCTGATGATGATGACCTCAGAAAGAGATGGAAAGTACTTGTGAAATAAAACTGATTTTCACTCTTGCAGTGCATTTCTTGTCTCATTTGATTGTAATATGCGGAAAAAATATTCGTGAATATGAAAGGATTATGCTAAAAATAATGCTTGCAATTTATTTAATCAGACATGCCTAATACATATATAAGTGTGCGTGTGTGTGTATGTTTGTGTGTGTGTGTACGTTCGTACATAGGTGTGTGAAAGAGACCATTTATGTTCAAATGATGCTTGTCAACCAGAAAATCGGTCCCAACAGTAACGAAATTAGAAAAAAGATTCATAAAGCAGTACTTTCCTTGTTATCTTATATATATATATATATATATATATATATATATTCAGTCCTATGGATATGAGTGTGTGACCCGGGTTTCACGCTTTTGTTTAACTGATGATCGCAAAAGCGTGACACCCATACGACTGAATATGTTACCTCAATCACTGATATTGAGCACTCTTCAATAAGTACAGCGCATACAAAATAAGATAGATAGATAGATAGATAGATAGATAGATAGATATGAAAAGACTGAGATAGATAGATAAATCCAAATTTAAAAAGATAATAATCCCTTACTATAAAGGTAATTTACATTAACCAGAAAAGAAAGGCTTAGACAGAAGCGTCTATCTTTTTAAATTTGGATTTTTTAATGTAACTATAACAACAAAAACATTTCGATTTCATTTTGCCTTGAAAAGTCGGAAGACGAAACGCGTCGGCAAATGTAAGATTTTTTTCCAATTGTCATTTGATACCAATCTGTCTTGTCCACAGAATTCATCTGGGAATTTTAACACACACACACACACACACACACACACACACATATATATATATATATATATATATATATATATATATATATATATATAAGATAAGAAATAAAAATAAAAAACAAAAATGAAAAATAAAATAAATAATGACAAGCAAAAATAATTTAACCCAAATAAATAAACGACTTATAGACTACCCACAATGCACCACTGACCCGTATATATAAATAGCCGGAAAAAATAACAGAATTTGTGGCCTGACGATTGCGTGTAGCATGAAACAAACTTCAATGTTCACTTTTATATTTACACACGCTCTATCTCTGATATTGAGCACTTTATCCTATAAATATAGCACACCTTAAGAGTATATTTCTTCATATATATATATATATATATATATATATATATATATATATTCTTGGCTTCGATTTGCGAACGAAGATTTATGAAGTGGGTTGTCCACGTCGACTGCAGGCACGCTGATGGCCGACCAGACAGAGACGGGGCGGGCAAATCAGGCCGCAACGAGTGCAATTAAAGGTCTGGTCTGGTATAGTTGCTGAGGATTTTCTTCTTCAGATTTGCCCTGCAAAAGTCCTCAAAGATGGAGACAGCCTGGTGGACGGTGCGGCGTTAGGCTTGACGGTCAGCAGCAAGTGTCGACCACTGGCGATGGTCAGTGTGGCAAGTACCGACGGACTTCTTGAGGGAGTCCTTATAAGGCTTCCTTGGTGCCCCCTATCACGGTGGTCAGTAGAGAGTACGCCATATATATTTATATATATATATATATATATAGTGTCATCCACAGACAGACTGTTTATCATCAGTGTGGATATACGCCCAGTTGCGTCTAGCTAAGATCGAAATTTGAATTTGTTTATGTTTAAACACGCAGTGACTGAGAGAACTCGATTCGCTTTATCGAAGAATCTTGCATTTTTAGCAGTAATAGTCACTGTTTACAAACACACACTTCCTCCCTAGAGAGCTCAACCAAAATAAATTTTTCAGGAGCATATGCATTGTCATCAATAGACAGACTGTTTTGCTGTATCACAGCTCATCAGTGTGAATATACGTCCGGTTGCCTGGATCGAAACCCGGTTGAATTGACGTCAGTCGGAGATTCAAGTCGAAATATATATATATTTAAGTTCTACTTCTTGAAAATAAAAACGAAAATGATAAAGAATTTCGGATCAACAATCTAACAGTATTTTCCTATATATATATATATATATATATATATATATATATATATATATATATATATATATATATATGTGTGTGTGTGTGTCACAAACACAATGATATTTATTGAAGTGAACTAAAACTTTAGAAAAATGATAGACTTCAGAAATGGTCAGCAAAATGGTCTTCCTGGCTATCACTCTACAACAGACATTCTTTTTATAGATACACATATTTAAGTAAATGCTCTTTTTATAATAAACAGTATTAACGACATTTACCGTCCTGAGTGTCCGAGAAATTTTTCCTTTAATATTTGTATCTATAAAAAGAATGTATAACCATAAAATGTCTTAAAATAATTGTCGGACTATGTCCATTTCATAATGTGTGACTTCATATATATATATATATATGTGTGTGTGTGTGTGTATGCATGTATATATATGGAACTGCTGAAAAGTTCTTAGCCGAAGCAAAAAGGGACTACCCTACTCCAAATTCTGATTGTAGCAAATGGGTCGTATCAAGAGCTTTTCATCAATCCCTCGTATTGATGTAAGACGATTGATCAAGCACTACGTTTACGCACTTTATTTCATTTTTTTTTGTGTGTGTGTATTCGTATGAGTGTTTTCTTTTCTTGACACAAAGTGTGTAAAAATTGCACAAATGTTCTCCATATGTGTGCGCTTTCGGCTATTCATTATCGAGAATGATTTTTATTTTTCATTTTTAACTGAATATATGGATTTTTTTATGCAGATATCTAAACTTATAGGAATGTATTATTTTCTATACACGGTCAGCATATTGTGGTTGATGTTATTGAGTGTTAGATTTTGTTTTTTTTATTATTAATGCTTCCATCATTTTTGTTTTCTTTTTACATGTGGATGAGGCTATTACACTTGTATTTTCTGTAAATATGTTGCGGTTGTAGTTTCCTAGGTTTACACACTTTATGTTCAGAAAAGAAAAGACATATACGAACACAAGGAAAATAAAATAAAAAGCTTAATTGCATAACCTTGTCAGTCGCCTTTAATGAAACATGTATAATAGAGGGATTGCTGCCCAAATACACATTTTTTAATTTATTAAAGTTCTGGTTTATTATCAGATCTTCTGGCTGAATTTGTATCATTTCATAAAATGTAGTTGTTCTGATGAGACAGGTGTATATATATATATATATATATATATATATATATATATATATATATATATATATATATATATATATATATATTCATATCTGATTGAAATATATTTATAACTGATTATTCCATATTATAATTATATTTATATATATATATATATATATATATATATATATATATATATATATATACATGCCTCAACTGTGTAGCCTTTGTAATCTCTCAAATCAGTATTCATGAAGCATAATAGATTATGTACATGTTCTTGTACTATCATATTATATTAAAACACAGACAAATATATATATATATATATATATATATATATATACGTGTGTGTGTAGTGTGTATGTGTGTGTGTGCGCGTACACAAACTATGACCTTGTTCTATTTAGTGATAAAATCATTTTCTTTTCCTTTTTAGCTTCTTTCCAATTCTTTATGGAATAAAGGAGAGTCGGATAAGCAATGATTTTTTCCTCCTGGTTTATTTTGTATTTGTTTTTTTTTTACTATATTACAAAGTAAACAAAAACATAATATAGGTATACATATATAAAACATAATATAGATATTTACTTCTGAGTAAACAGATATATCCAGCTTTGTGATAGGTCGATTTCTAGGAATGATTTACTGAATTGTATTTCATATGCGTATAACCACACACGAACGCAAAGCACACACAGGATGACCAGCAATCTCTCCAATTCAGATAGCAAAAACGCACAAGCATAAATACAGACCCGTGTGCATGAATGAGATTTCTTCATCGTTGTTTGACAGTAAACTTGATCATCACACGTTTTCACTGTACTACAACCTTGTTCTAACCAATGCAAAGTGTTTTAAATATTGTAATAATACTTAGAGACTACACAAAGGATCAGTTAATGATCTTATGTTACAGAGGTATGATAATACAAGACAACTCACTGTATGGTGTTTACACACTAAGGCGGCTTGGAAGCCAAACGAGAAACAAACGATAATATTAAAAAAAAAAAAAAGAATAAAAAACAATGAACGAGATGGAAAATTCTACCAACCTGATATTATAAATAATTATAGTAGTAAATATATCGACATCGAACGGTTAGAACTTTCGTTTCCAACTATGGAACCTGGGTTCGAATCTCACTATGGTCGATTTGTGAGGAAGCTTATTTCTTGATGCTATCGAAATTTGGAAAGTGCCTGAAAAGCATACCACGGTTTGACCAAATCATTTGGGAGAAAATTTGGTAGACGGAACTAACTGAGAGCCGTCGAGGGCTGTGCTATCGCAAACTCACAAGCCATTGTAACCGAGGGTTTCAGCGCACTGTCCTTATTCAGACTGTTGATCCTGCAAGTTGAATGTGGTCTCTCCCAGAAACTACAACTAATGTCGGCTCAGCATTGTTTTAATATAAATCACATGTGGACTCTATAGGTGTTAACAATATATGTGTTATATATATGTTAACAATATAATATATATGTTAACAATGTGTGTGTGTGTGTGTGTGTGTGTGTGTGTGTGTGTGTGTGTGTGTGTGTGTGTGCAAGCGCGCGGGGGTGTGTGTGTGTATGTGTTTTACTCGTCATGTGTTTCGTTCTTCAGGATTTCATCAAATGTCAACAAAATTAGTCCGATTAAGATAGAAAAATATATATCGTTATCTCATATATATATATATATATATATATATATATATATATATATATATATATATATATATATATAAAAAAAAAAAACAGACCACTTTTAAGGCTCTATTATAATAATTTATTTCAGCAGAGCCCTTTTAAAGGACGCCGGATCATCAGATAGCACTTCCAAAAAGATGAAACGAAAAAAATGAATATATATATATATATATATATATATATATATATATATATATATATATAGGAGCATATCTTCATTCAAGGAAGTTTCATTGAATAATATCGACATATTATGTACTTATTTTTATAATAACCTTTCTAGTTCTCTAATTAGCTTTTGATTTTAAGTTGAAATTCATCAAAAGTACTACGGCGCCTTTGCTTAATGAATTTCAATTTAACATCATGAAGCTAATTAAAGAACTAGAAAGTATCATTGTAAAAAATAAATAGACATAATACATCTATATTATTCAATGAAACATTCTATATATATATATATATATATATATATATATATATATATATATATATATATATATATATATAATAATAATAATAATAAATCCTAAAGAGTCAGGATCTTCAGGGTAAGCCAGTCTCAATTAATCTCGATTATTACCAAATTTATTTCCAAATTATGAAAATAGTTATCGCCGAAAACAATCGCAGTAATGAGAACTTAGGAATCGAAAATTTCTGTAACATGAGATATTGAAAATTAGAGAGTTGTGTCCCTTTAATTGAAAAATTGTGACACAGTGATACAGTGACACACTGACATTCGCATTTATTATATAGATGTCAATAGGTTAAAGCGGGGCAAAAAGTAACACCTATTTCGAAATTACCATGCCGACCATATAATTACAGACAGACACGGTTATTTAAGCTGTACGTACATTAGAGTTAGGTGAACATTATGATGAGGAGCTATTCTGGATGTCATTTCAATTTAAGAACTTAACATGAAAAAATGAAAATTGTAAAATGTTACTTTTTACCCAACCGGTGGGGCAAAAAAGTAACATACAAGGTAAGATGGTAGGGGTAAATTGTAACAACTAAAATTAGAACAATGAAACCGCTTTGTTACCTGATTTACGCTTCAAATCCAATTTTATTTAACATAAAAAAACATAAAAGGATCATTAGTTTGAAACTGTAATATACAATATACGAAAATAAGTGAAATTCTTCTACTTAGAAGTGTCGATTTGGGATATTCTACTCTCCTTGTTTGTTTCTCGTTAATATTCAAGCAATAAGGCGAGAAAAGGACAGTAACACAAGAGTCCATTTCACCCTGTGTTACATTGTGCCCCGGTTTACCCTACATAACACTGAGCCTAATGAGCCACATAAGAAACCTTATCATCCGAATTCTGATGAATAGAACGTGTAGCAGATCCGAAATAGGACAAGAACGGTGCAGTTTCGTTAAAAACAGTGAAACAAGGAATGCAATTATTATTCTGATCATAAATATTGCATTCCTTCATTGTCTGTCTATCCTCATCTTTTTCGCCATATTTATCACAACGTTTCGGTTGTTGTACGCTCCGGCCTTCTTCTTGAGGACAGTAGTCCGAATAATGTAAATAATGTACATAATAGCTCATCTCAGAAATATAGACAGACTCTGAAGGAATGCAATATTTATGATCAGAATATGAGAAAGAGCAATACAAGTGCAAAAGATGTTTTATAAATTATGCAAAAGAATTTAATAAATTACGTCTCAAAGAACTGTTTGAACTGCTAGGTAAGCTTGATTTGTCTTGGAATGGATACACAAACATAGAAAGAGCTGTAAGACAAGGATATCTCTCCTCCCCGGATTTATTTCACCTTTAAAGTGAGGCGATACTCAGAGAATTTGAAGTCCTACAGTTATCGGCATTTACAATATTAAATATTCAGGCGATATAGTATTGATAGCTGTCACAGAAAGGAAGTTGTAGTAATTCCTACAGAAGACAGAATGTATAGTTTTCAGCAAAAGTGACAGCCCAAGATACGAATTGGAGACGCCAAAATAATGAAAATGAATGTGGGACAATCTCCTCACTGATGAAGAACAGACTTGAAGCAACAGAAATGTTGTTCTACAGAAAGATACTGAGGATTTAAACTTACGATTAACATCAGGAACAGGCAGTTGAAATTTCTGGGGCGTGTAATGAGGAAGGAGGGCTTGGAAAACCTGATACTCACAAGATAGATTGATAGAAAGAGAGATAGAGGAAAACAGCGTAAAACATACTTGATGGGCACGAGTAAATTGATGGCGGAACAGGGTTTAGGGGAAATAACAAAAAGACAAAATTTATTAAGAGCTACAAGGGACCGAAAGTTGGTGGGGGTCATGTTCACCTGTGCCCCGAGAGGACACAGCACATAAAGAAGAAGAAGAAGAAGAAGAAGAAGAAGAAGAAGAAGAAGAAGAAGAAATGATGAATATTGCACTGAAATAGTTGTAATTCAATTGTATTAGATTTTAAAATGCTGTAAATATAGAATTATTCTTATAAACAAATAATTTAATATTTTATTTATAATACTGTTTCAGAGACTCCGGTGTAGAGAAGTTCTCCATATTCTGTTACTACCCACAATTCCCTGACTGATTTTACTCATGTTATCGTCCGGAATGTTTCCATACTTCATTGATTTTTCCACATACTTTCAATATTTTTGCAATGCTTTTTGGAAAAATTCCAAGCGCTCCAGTAATTATAGATTCAAGTGTCCCCTTCATATTCGACAATTTTGTTTTTGTTTCCGTTTTCTGACAAGGTCTACATATTTTTTCCCGCCTTTTCCTCTGTCGTCTGCTGGCACGGTGACATCTACTAATGTCTTCGCTTTTGTTTATGTTGATTACGTCTGGTTTCGTGGGCTCGATGGATACATCTGTTTGAAATTAAAAATCCCTTAGAGTTTTATATTTTTTTTTTGTTGGCTTCTGATTTATGGTTGTGTGATTTCAGTATCATATCTAAGATGTTTGCACAATTCCTAGCTAATTTCTGATCCTACCCAGTCTTATATATTTTTTTATATATATTTCTAAGTTAGATGCTTTCCAACGGTGAAACAAAGTATTTAAAAAAATGTAAATCTTTATAAAAGGTCTTCAACTTTTTTGTTTTTTATTCCATAGCTCTTAATTCTTAATTTGCTTAGCTTAGGAAGGGCCCAGAATATCATACTATGAATGCCGTATATATTATTACCATTCCATGCTGTTGGTTCACTAAATAAACGTTGGGCGGCTTTACGATAATGTAGCCCTCGAATCAGATACCTATCCAATAATCTATATGATGTGGGACCAAAGTCGGGACCACAGAAGGAAAACACGGATTAGATGTAAGAAAGATATATTAACAACATGTTACAGAGATAGTGTAAGCGGAGCTTACTATATGTTAGTGTCCAATACTGGTAGTCGTACGCGGCTGTCACTGTCTCTCTGTGTCTCTCTCTAGAGTGTTGTGTCGCATACTTAATATAGACCTGGAAGAGTCTATTGTGTAGGTAGTTTCGGTCTCACAATACCCCCCTTCCAAGAGTTTTCTTTTTGAAAAGGAGAGAAAAAAAATAAAACTGTTAATACTTTTTCCTCTTGGGATTTACGTCGAGCGGTTGAGTAAATTTCTTTTTCTTCCTGAGCGTCGTACTTCAGGAGAGACTTGGGACATGTCGAGATCGAACTAGAGATCTTGATGCGTGAGCCACAGCTTTTCGCGAACCATCTGGCAGTTTATGCAGAATGCAAGCACCAATGCCGTACGAGCTTGCATCACTTGCGACTATGATGTCAAGACTAGGGTCGTAATGGGTGAGGGAGAGGTCTGAAGTAAGAGTTTTCTTGATCTTCTCGAATGCGTCTTGGCATTCTGGGGTCCATGACCATGGTTTATCCTTTTTTAAGAGTTGGTTGAGAGGCCCTCTCAAATTTTGCATGTTCTTAATGAATCCTTGGTAAAAGTTAGCTTGGCCGCGGAAGCTTTGTAACGCTTGAACGTTATTTGGGACCGGCATGTTTCTGATCGCGTTGAGCTCGTATTTGATTGGACTTTTTTTTTTTACGTAAACCGTAGGTGCTGCCCACTCGCTGAAATCTGTTTTTGACAGAATACCTGCTTGTTCGAGTCTATCTAACTCTTAGTTGATTTGCTCTAGAGCAGCGAAAGGGACATTCCGTTTCTTTTTGAATACCGGTTGTGCACCGTCCTTCACCTTGAACTTAGCTTTCATTTTAGCACATTTCCCAAGGCCGCCAGAAAAAACCTGGGGAAATTGTTGTTTGAGTTCCATTTTTAGATTTACCAAATTGGACGTTGTACTTTGTATCTTGCGACAAAATGTACTCATTGGGCAATCCCAAAGATTGAATTTTTCTATCCAATCTGTTCCAAATAAGTTATCTGATGTTTTCAATACGTAGGCTTTGAGCTTTTTGGTAACTCCATTTAGTGTTACTGTAAGTATTACCTCGCCTAAAATGTTAATCTTTTCGCCAGTTACGGATTTTGCTGTTTTATCCGTTTTTAATAAGGTCGGCTTGTTCAATTTTCGCCAAGTACGCCAGTTAATGGTTGAAAGATCGGAAGCCGAGTCAAGCTGGAATTTAATGGACTTATTGAAAATATCCACAGTTACATATTTCCTTAAATTCCCATCGGCAATATCGTCAGATTAAGCTTGCATAATTTCATTTTGGGGTTTACTCGTTCTGTTGGCGTACCAGCACGAAGTTAAAGTATGCCCACTTTTATTGCAATTTTTGCAATATTTTTTTGTTCTTAACTGGACAGAATTTCATCCAATGCCATTTACCACAATGGTAACATGGTCCGGGCGGTTTTCTTAACCTATTTGGGATTCGGTTACTGCGTAATTTAGGACATGAGATTTGCCTTTTGTCTTTTTGAGGGGAATAGGAGGTAGACTTGCTTCTGATTTTATTTATCTGAGCCACCCCTGATTCCTCGATAGTGTTTGAGTCACACTTTACAGATATTACTCTTTGACAGTCCTCTGCCATTTTTTGGAGAGTCAATCATTGTTCGTTCTCAAGCTTGGTCAGTACCCGTCGTCTGACTTCGGCGTATTCTGCTGATACTAGACCGTGTGCGAAAATCAAGCACTTGAAATCATCGGCAGTCAGTTCGGCTATTTTAAAATCATTACAGAGCTTGTTTACCGATGCTGCAAACGTTAGAAAATCTTGCTGGTTGTCTTTGACTGTGTTCAGACATTTCCAACGTTTGTGGAACAAGGTTGTGTTAGGCCCAAATAGTTCCAATAGGAGCTTAATAGTCTCTGAAAAATTCAAGTCAGTGGTTTTCTTGGGTAGTATGAAGTCTACGAACCTACTATGTTCTGTAGTTCCCAGTTTTCTCAATATTAGACGTACCTTTTTTTTACTGGGCCATTGTTCACAGTCTATGTTGAAAATATCTTCGTAGCGCCTGTAAAAAGCCTCGAACGTTTTGTCGTTCTCTGCTACGTATTCAAAGGTTTCCATTGAATTGTAGATTGTGCTCTGGGAGAATATTGTTTTTTCAGAGTTTGAGCCTTTTAATGCATTTACGAGTAATTCTTTAAGTTGTTTCTGTTGTAGTTCAGCATTCTGAAGCGTAATTTGTTGAAATTGTATTTGTTGTTTATGTAATTCAAAAAATAGTTGTTGTTGCCTTTCTTCTGATTTTTGTTGCTGATCGAAATTTGCTTTTAGCATTTGGGCAATTACTTTTTGAAAACCTTCCATATTTAGACAAACAAAAATGACAGCGATTTTTTGTTGTTTTGAAACCCGTGTACCAAGGGGAGGTACACAAAAAATCTTGATAGGTTTTTTTTCCTTTACAAAAAAAATATGGACAAACAATTAGTTAAACTAAACTAATGTGTTTAGCTTTTTTGCAATTCCGTGGTTCCGTTAATTTTAACGTAATTGTATCAATTTTCACCACACTTATGTATTTTTTTAATTTTTTTAGGAGGTACAAAAAAGAGAAAACTCACCTCAGTGAATTTGAGGGGAGAATAATCTTATGCACAAGTTCAACTCAGTTACCTAAAAAGAAATTTTAGATAGTTTTTTTCGAAAACTTGAGTACCATGGTAGTACTTCGACTCTTGTGTTGTCAGTTTGTTTTATGAACAAACTGTTTTTTTTTTCTTTTTTGTGCGTGGGTTTGTAAGAAATTGTTCTCGTAATGTTATTTGGACAGACTTTAATATTCGGTAGATGTCGAATCGCTAGTTCGTCAATGCTGTTTGGTATCGGAATATATTTTTTTTATATATATGTAGACGCTGGGTGTTGCGTTTAAATCGCTAATATAGTAATACCAGCTTAATTTCTCGTTCAACACTGCTGTGGGAACGCGTGGAGTTTCTGTGTATTTTTCGAGTACTCTGTCGCTATTGATATGGTGAGAACGAAATTCTCGAATCTTCCTGTCGCCACTGATGTGGGGCTGGCAAGGTATTGCGGTTTTCGACGTGAATGCGTTTCTCGAATTCTTTGTCGACACAGATGTGGAACTGGTAAGGTATTGATGTTCCGGCGTGAATGCGTTTCTCGAATTCTCGTCGCCACTGATGTGGGGCCAAAGTCGGGACCACAGAAGGAAAACACGTAACATGGATTAGATGTAAGAAAGATATATTAACAACAGGTTACAGAGATAGTGTAAGCGGAGCTTACTATATGTTAGTGTCCAGTACTGGTAGTCATACGCGGCTCTCACTGTCTCTCTGTGTCTCTGTGTCTAGAGTGTTGTGTCGCATACTTAATATAGACCTGGAAGAGTCTATTGTGTAGGTAGTTCCGGTCTCACAATACTATAACAAGAAAAAGAGACAACGGCATAGAAATTGGAAGAAAGTAAATTATGTTTTTTTTTTAAGGATGACAACAAATTATTAAAATGTTCTACATACTTTTTCTCCAACCCTGAAAAGTAAAACTAGTGGAAACTGCAAAGGGCCATTTCATTTCCCCAGTCAGAGACACTTCTCTCCAATATCTACAAAATCCCTCTCCCTCTGTCAAAACAGGTCTCTGTTGATAGGCTCTTAAGGGTCACATGAATGGCTAAGAACGACGAAATACTAATTAGAGAAGAAAAGGAAAGGCATTTCACCTATGCATTTGGATGTTTCAGTCATTTAGTACTGGGGACTGAGTGACCGCAAATAAATTCAAAGTCTCCTCAATAAAGAAAAAAAACGCCATAATCTGAAATCATTGAATTTCTGTCTTTCTGTCTTTCTTTTTTTCTTTCTTTCTTTCTTTCTTTCTTTCCATCTATCTATCTATCTGATCCTTCTCAAACGAACAGTCCTGACGACTTCTAAAATCCCCTCCAAAAGTATTGGAACTGGTATTTACATTTAGATATGTTAAATATCTTAGGACATACGACCTTTAGTTTGTCCCCACCCCCATTTTTCAAGTAACCAAAACTATTGGAACACGTGACTGACATGTGTTTTTTTGTAGCCCAGGTGTTGCATTTTAGCTTGATTGTTTGAACATTAAACAGCTCTGAATAACTACTTGTGCTTCACCTGTAA